AGCCGCCTCGGGCCGCCCTCCGCAGCCTCTGCCCCTCACGCTCGAGGCCGCCTCACGCCGCGCACCGCCTCGCGCGGCGCCGCGCTCCGATTGGCTGCGCCGCCCGCGGGGCGGGCCCCAGAGAGAGCCGCGGCCAATCCGCGCCGCGGAGGACGTTTCCCGCGGGGCGGGGGCCGCGCGCAGGCGCGGCGGGGCGGGGCCGGCGCGGGCGTGAGGGAGGGAGCGAACGAGCGGGGCGGGCGTGAGGGAGCGAGCGGCGGGAGGGAGCGGGCGAGGCGAGGCTGGTCCCGCGGCGCCTCGCCTTCCAGCGGGTTTCTCTTCAGAGAGCGGCTTTCCCATAACGCGGAGCCCTCATCCCCCTCTCCGCCCCTCAGACGAAGTCCCCCGCCGCTATGTCTCTCGGCCAGCGCCTGGCCCGGCTGGCCGCCCACCTGCAGGACCCGCGGAAGGTGGCCGCGTTCCAGCGGCTCTGCGGGGTGGAGGGGCCCTCGGGCTGGGCCGGCGCGGAGCAGCGGGGGCCGGTGGCGAACGGCGGCCCCGCGGGCGGGCAGGAGCATCCCGCTGGGAACGGGGCCGTGCCCGGCGCGGCGGGAAGCCCGCGGCGCTGGAGGAGGAGGCCGCGCCGAAACTCGCTGACGGAGGAGGAGGACGGCAGCCAGGAGTTCGCCACTCGCAGCCGCTTCCTCTACTATCTGTTCAGCCTGGGCACGGAGCTGGGCAACGAGCTCTTCTACATCCTCTTTTTCCCTTTCTGCATCTGGAATGTGGACGCCTGGCTGGGCCGGAGGCTCATCATCATCTGGGTGTGGGTGATGTACCTGGGGCAGTGCACCAAGGATGTGATCCGCTGGCCGCGTCCTGCCTCGCCGCCCGTGGTGAAGCTGGAGGTGTTCTACAACTCCGAGTACAGCATGCCCTCCACCCACGCCATGTCGGGCACCGCCATCCCCCTGGCGCTCCTGCTGCTCAGCTACGGCCGCTGGCAGGTAATGCTCGCACCTCCGTGTCCTCATCCGTGCGCTTTCCAGCCCCGAGGTGTAAGGATGTGGCAGACCTGATTTCTCCTCAGGAGGGGAGGTGGCTGAGTTTGGTTGGCAAAACGTGAGATTCGTACATTTTTTCCTTGCCTCAGTCTTATTTTCTTTTTTTCTGTGATTTAAGCGAGTGCTCAGGTAACGAGAAATGTTCTAGTAATTCTGTCTTGTGAATGGAAGTTGTGCTGGTTTTGAGGATTAGCTCAGCACGCGTGAAAAGTTCGCGATAACAATCTGCATTTTGTTCCGATGAGAGGTTTTTTCCAGATTGTCAATTTGCGTAAAGTTTGGATAAGCATCCAGTGTTTTTACAAGCATTTGGTTTTACAGAGTGAGAATTTAGTGGAGAGCCAGTAACTAAAGAGCTTGTTGATCCTTCTTTGCTTCGAGTCACTTTGTAGCGTCACTGTGTTGTAGCTTTAGCCTTTTCCTTAACGATTTTATTTTCATTAACCACAAGCTGGAAATGATTCTGGTATTTGTACTTTCAGGAGGTTCTGCAATCTATCAGTGTGTTCCTAATTAGCGGAACTGGTAATCTATGATATTTTCATCACCTTCATTCAGCAGAATCTCTAAAATCCGTCTATTGCACTTGGGGTCAATAGATAAGTTAAAATAACACTGTTGATAGTCTGGTTTACGCAAGCAGTGGCATGTGCTTTGGCGCTGGCTGCTGGAAGTACGGCAACAGCAGCAGCTCCAAAGAAAGCACATCCAGCTCTCTAAATCACTCCACCACTTTCAGCAGTAGCTGAGAGAAGGCTTTCCCAGGTAAATGTCCAGTACAGCGTTTTAAGAAGTTAGGCAGTAACTAGGCTCTTAAGTTGTTACTGTTTACTAATCCTTACTGTAATACCTGCCTGGTTTAAGTTGGATATAAGTCATATCGGTAGAGAGCACTTAACTCTGATTCTAAGCTTTGTGCAGGGCTTAACTCTTGCCTTCCCAGTTACTGGTGACAATCACCATTTGTCTGCTGCCGCTGCCTGACACTTTGTGGCTCTATCTCAGCATCAGAATGGGTGACTGCAAAGGTATGAGATAATTAAGGGTTAGACATTTTATTTGGTCTCTCTAACCAAAGATTATGTATCTGTTTCTGCAAGGTGAATGCATGCACCCAAAAGAAAGCTCTTGGGGATTCACTTTTGCTAGGAAAAGGTGAAGTTTTATCTGCTGGAGTTATGCAGGCATAATAATTACATATATATATCTATACACATATAAATAATATACTGTTTTATGAGTGTTTGAAATAAATATTTGAAATGTTGCCACTTAGATGCTTAATCTCAAAGTTGTTTTTATTAAATGACCAAAATCTGTATGTTTGATTATTGGTAGGGCTGGTGTCAATTGGAAGAACAAACTGGATTTGTACTTGTTTGCATGTGGGAAAGCTCATTTAGCAGTAGCAGTCGATCAGCTTTGCTCAGCTGATGTTATGTGTGCAGAGGAGAGCCCGTCTCGATGGCCTTTAGAGGAGCAGCAAACGGGGTGTGAAATGGTGTTTTTGCCAGTGAACCGAGTTCGATCTGTGGTTTGCAACCCTGCCGCTGCAGTCTGTGAAACACTCTGCTCATTGACTAAACATATTTACCATGAATGCGTGGTAAGAAATCATAAAACATTCAGCCTTGTTATTCGTGTAGGACTGTGCTTAAGAAATGCAGAAGCAAACTGCTTGAGTCTTGATTTCAAATCCTTTTTCTTAGAAAACGAGTATGAATAAAAGACCTCTCTGAAACCAACTTCTGTCATTTCAAAATACTCATGTAAAAAAAAAAAAATCCCTTCTGATTTTTAAATTATTTCCATAAGTTAATCAATAATTAACCAATGGCATGTCAAGAGTCTTTTCATTAACCTTTCATCTGACAGTTCTGTTCTCCTTGTTTTACTTCTGTTGAAAGGGAGTAGAACGTATGTGACATCATTTGTCATGGAAAATGGTGTTTTTCTTGAAATGGTGTTATAAAAGACTAACATCAGAAGTTCTTGGAAGTGCTTTATCTTTACTAAAGATAAAAGAGATTTTAATACTATTTTTACTAAATTCTACAAATGCACCAGTAGGTGCAGGTTGCTGGATTTAAACCTTTGGCAATCTCTTTCTGTATATATTTAGTGTCAAGAAGCCTTACACAGAGCCTGATTGTGGTGAGACAGTATCTTGGGAGTGTTGGTTCAGCAGATCACAGTGGAGCGAGACTGAGGATGAATTGAGGCAGAGACAGGTGTAACTCTGCAGGGACTTTTACTCTGGAATACAGGCAGCTCTGAGTTTGTCACTTGGAAGTTTATACTAAACCAAAGAAAGCTCCTCTTGCTTTAAAAGATATTACACCAGTGAGGAGGGAATATCTCGTGTAGCCTATTTGCTTTCAGTGATCTATGACTTCCTGCTATTGTGTGATAGTTCTATCAAAGACAATCTATTTGAGTATTTTTCTTGAAGAAAATACAGAACAGAGAAAATGTGCTCCTATTTCCCTAGGTATGGCCCAGATTGTCCATTTAAAAACATGTTTGGATTGCAGTAGGGTTTTTTCTTAACCTGCTCACTTTGTGATTTTCAAATTTTCAATGCCTTTAAGCAGTCCTGTTACAATTATTTTTACGTAGTATTCAAAAGGATTTCTGAATATTAAACTAAAATACTTTCTATAAATGCAGTAGTTCTATTGTTCAAGTAGAATATTTTCAAAGATAATGTATTTTAAAGATGGTTTTGACAAATTATCACAATTAGATACTTTGAACATAGGGGATATTCAATGAAACCTTTCAGACAGAAGTGAGTTACATATTGGGATAACTTTCATAGTTGCTAACTGTTCTGTCCATTGTATCCAAATTTTTCAGTTTCTTCTTGTGTTATGAGAGCTTGCCTGAAACTTCTGATTCTACTTGCATAATCAATGTTCATTTATTTATTTAAAAAGTTACATGTGTTACATGCTAACATTTCTGTAGGGACAACCATTTATTTCAATGACACTTCAGTAGCCATGAAATATAAAGCTCATGTCAAAGACTTATGAGAATTTAGGAGTGTTATAAATGTTGATTTTTTTGTCCTTTGAAGTGCTGATACCCTGAAAGAGGAGGGCAAACATTTAAAAGACAGGTTATAGATCTTGATACAATGTAGGAAAAAAGCAACCTTTATCAAACTGGGGAAAACTTACTTTCTTTGAAGTTGTGACAGTTTGAGCCAGACTGGCTTATATCATAGATGAGGAAGAGATTGTGTGAATTGCTAATTATCCACAACATCTCCACAGGCTCAGGCTGAGACTACTAGAAAAAGTATTTTTTATATTATTTGATTACATTGAACTGTTGATTTCAAATAGCTATCAAGATATATTTCATTAGAAATGGTCCTTGAGTTGGGATGGTACCTGAATGTGTTGGAACTCTGCTGGTGTATTTTGAGGAGAAAAATACCACCCAGGGGATAGAGAAAATTTTCTTCTTTCCCAGGGTTGCTCAGGATGCAGCCTGGCTGTAGCAGTGGCTGTCTGCATTAGGAAATGATGGGTTTGCACTCCTTCCTGAGCTCTGCATTAATGAGCTCAATGAGGAACTGCTGACTCTCACTGTAACCACTGAGCAAACTTCAGTTGATGTTCAGCAGCAGCCCAGAGCCTGGGTTGTTGTGTAGCAGGCCTTTAACTATATTAACCAGCACTGATTTAGCTTCTGAAGCAGCTTGTGGTGCTGAACATGACAGCCTTGTCCTCCCTGGGTACGTGCCTGGCAATGTTTGATATGCAAACCTGTCATCAGTGACTGCCTTTCCACCTTGCTGCTGCTAATGGTGACCTGGATATACACCACTGCTGAACCTGCAGTAGGTGCATGTATTCTCCAGTGGCCTCTCTGATGCAGTTTTCACTTACAGGTTTCATTTACTCAGTGCTTTTTTGACTCTCTGTGGTACTGGTTGTGTAAGACTCTTTTGTGGTACCACCTGAGACTCTCTTCCAGAGATTTTTGATCTGCACTGTGACGTTTATCAGCCAAGGCTGGTGAATGTAATTAGAGGTGGGTTTGACAGGATCTGTGTTGGGATTTCAGAGAAATCTGCATCACTCTGTGGTTCTGACTGACCCCTATTGAAGATTACCTCTAGAATTGTCTGCCTGCTCTTTCATTTCAAAAGGCTAAACACTCTGATCCCCATTGGAAATAGGGAATAATTGGTTATTGGAGATGAAGAAACAGCCTAATCACAACAGTACTGTAGTGAGAATTTTGCAGAAAGGGACACACCCTTGTTTTAAATGTCTGTCCTTGGTGAAAGGCTTGCATTTTCAGTAAGATTGACGTAATGATAAACTGGAAGCTACACACAGAAAACCATCTCTTACATACAAAGTCTGTGTGCAGGAGCGAGTGCAGTCCCTTCAGAAAGAGACACATCATGTCTCAGAGAAGCCCAAAGGGGCCTTTGGCTAAAATACTAAAACGTTGAGAAGAAATGTTGGCAAAGAGATGCGTGCATGCTTGTCTAATTGGTCTTCTTGTACATGTTTAAGAGTCAAACAAAACCTCTTCTGACATTGGAAGCCCAGCTGAAGGGATGATCTGAAAACACAGAATTACCCACACAATGATTTGAGAGAGAGCAGTGGGAATTTGGAGTGTCAGCACTGGCCTTGTCTTGTGTGTCTGAGATGCAAGATCTTCCATCGGCCATATTACTGCCTGTAGCTGTTTGTAAAGGAAACTGAAAAAAGTTGTTTGTTGCAGGTGTTCTTAAAAGTTTGAAAAGAGCACAGCTAGTTCTGACAAATGTCTGTAGGGAATCTCTGCCAGAGGAATACAACAGCCTGTCTCGTTAGACTGTGTTGATTGTCATTAAATGTATTTTTCAGTTTTGCCTAAGTGAATCTTTAATGTAAGTAGTCTTGGGGGAAAACATGTAAAAACAAATGCTC